GCATTATATTGATTTATTCAATAATGGATTTAAACTCTTTAACTTATTAAGGGAGAGAATGTGGGCACCTCAAGAGAGAGCCTAACCTTTATAATAAATCATTTGTGCAATTTTTCTCTTTACTCATCACTATTTATTAGAACTTCAATTCAATCCCTCTCTTAAATATTTCTGCATTATTGTTGAGTTAATATATTTAACAATTTATTACTTTTATATTTTAATAATTATTTAAAAATAAAACTTCTAATAAAACTAATTTTTTGAGCTAACCCCTAACACCTTTGGCAAGTTCACAAAATTATTGTCATTTTGAAAGATTTAAGAAAATTACCACTATCCTAAAAATTCTATTTTTTAAAACTTTATTCTAAATAATTATAATTTTTTATTTAATTAAATTTTTTTAACTTTCAATTCCTAATTTACATTTTTTGAAATAATTTCATGGGTTTAAACAGGCACATAAAAAATAAAGAAAGAAATGATGAAATGATAAAAAAATTATCTTTATATATTTTTGTTATTCATAGCTTTTTTTATAATCTTTTCAAGTTTAGATATGGGTACAAAAGAAAAAAAAATAAATAAATAAAATAATTATAAATGGAAATAGAAACAAAGAAAAAATATCAAAAAATCAAAGTAAATTACCCAAAAAAAGGGGTCAAAGGCATACTTGGATGGGTTAAAAACCCAAATTTGTTGGGCTTGGTTTGGACCGTTGCCTTCTTTTTTTTCATTTTTTCTCCCTCACCCCAAACTCCTTCAGACCTTCACCTCAAGCATGTTTGGTAGCCAGTCCCCCCTTATTCTCCTTCCACTTTTTTGTTCTTTGGTTGGAAAAATCTCGGTTTAACCAACCCAACTCTCCCATGGTCTTGGCTATTTAATGACTGATGGATAGTCTCCAAAATTTATAAGACTAAAATGCCCCTACCTATTTTTGCAAAATTACAAAATTAGACTTTTAAATCTTTCCTTTTCTTCTCATTTTTCCCCTTTTCTTTGTCTCTCTTCCCATTCTTGCCTCTTTCCTTCTCCCTCTAAATTCCACTTTTTTATTTTCTCTAAACTCTATATAGTTTTATTATAAAATCTTAATATTTTAATTATAATAACGTTTAAATTATAAATAAAACATTTAATATGTTAACAATGTTAATATTTAAATTATAAATAAAAATATATTATTTTAAAATATTAATATATAAATGATAAATTTATCATTATAATGTTAAAATTATATATAAAATATTAACGTCTAAAAATTAAATAAAATAATCATATTAATATTTAAATTATATATTATTGATATTTTTAAATAAATTATACATAATAATTTTTTAAAAATAAAAAATTTAAGATAAATAATCATATTAAATTTTTATTAATATTTTTATAAATTATAAAAATACATTTTAAATGAAAAATAAAATGTTATTATTTATTATTTATTCATTGATTATTCCAAACCTATTCTTACCAACCAAATAATAAAATGAGTCCTAATAGTAGACTTAGTAATTTTAGACACAACACTTTAACACGATACTGGAAGACACGGGATTAAACAGATTTAAGATTAACCTTAACAAGTTTCGTGTCTAATCGTGTTTGACACGTTTAAGACACGAAAATTTTTGTGTCTTAATATGTCAGACACGAGTAACATGTTTAATTAATCATGTTAATCATGTTTAAATGTATAAACGTGTTTAATTGTATTATCATGTTTAAACGTGTATACATGACATGTTTATCAATTTGTTAAAAATTAATAGTCAAAGACCGTTCAGTCTTACTTAAAAAATTTAAAATAATTATTTTAATAAGATTTTTAAATTTTATAAAGATAATAATGTAATTATGTCATGCCTAAACCCTAATTTTAAATTTTATTTTGTTATATTTGATGTATTATTTTGTTTTCTTATAATTGTTTTTATAATTATTTATTTTAAATTTAAATAATATAATTATATTTAATTGTAAATATTTTTATTTAATCGTGTTAATCGTATCGTGTCATATTTTGACGCGTGTTAAACGTGTTGTGTCTCATTACACGGTTATTAAATTTATACGTGTATATATATATTTTAAATTTAAAATATAAATAGTATTTACGTCATGTTCGTATTTAATCTTAAAGTGTTTCGTGCCTAATCATATCTGACATGTTTAAAATACGAAAACACGAATCGCTAGATTTACCTAATAGCAATTATAACCTTATTTCATTCCATAAACCATCCATTTCTACTTTATTTTTTTTATAAAATAATTATTTTATTACGTTCCGAATTAAATGTGTAATAAAAACTAAACAATAAAAGCAACTTCTTCTCCATTTTCGATCCTTTTTCTCTCTCTACCTCCTTTTTTAAGCCTTTTCCCTTCGACCATATCCCAAAAGTACCATTTTTTAAATTTTTTTTATATTTTTTAACAAAACGTCTCTAAATAAAATGAAATGTCTATAGAAGTTGAAAGCCAATACCTCTATTGATTGTTGATAAATTTCAATCAAACTTAATATATATAGTATAGATATTGAAATATATCTAGGGATTATTTATTTTTAATTAAATCTGGACCCATACGAAAATAAAGAAAGACCCTACAAGAAGGAGATCTTGAAGGTAGCTGATTTGGATCCGAAACTTATTCAGATCTTCTTTTTCTTCTACTAAAGAAAATTGATTTAAAAAATTGAAAATTCGATTAAACAATCAATATTAAAATTTAAATTTTAAAAAAATAAATTAATCCAATTTTTCTATTAAAGTATAAAATCATTCAAAGTTAATAGTATCCAGTATATGGACATCTAGTTATTCTAAGTAACAAAACATGAAAGTTGAACGAAAACAAGAAATTGGAAATGTCCTTAATTATGCTAAAGAAGAAAAGTTGAAAACCATGTAAAAAAATTGGCAAACCCTTAATTTTAATAAAGGCACTAACTTAAAATTACAAAGCAGGAGCAGGGGATATTACATTAAGGAATAAATAGAGTCGGTTCCATGTAAAAGAATTAATCATACGGTATTTAAAATTACAAACATGTATACATGCATATATCAGAGATTGTATTTATTGAAGAAGCAATAAATTAATAGTCATACGGTATTTAAAATCAAAGATGCGTATTTATGTACATACATATTTTGATAAAAAAATGAAAAAGCAAATAAATTAAAATACAATAAAAGAACATAATAAAAAAATATATGAATACGCAATCAATATCCAATCTTAATTTATTTTTGATTAAATGAATTTTTAATTTTTGAAAACGGGATAAATTTTAGAAGAAAAATTAAAAAAAAAAAAACTAATTTTGTGGGACATGAATTGTGCTTTTGTTAATAAATTGAAGCGAAACATATCCATGGCCAACCCTAATTTCTCTTTAGAAAAGAAGCCCAACCTAGCATAACAGGCTTTTGCCTCCATTGGGGTAGGTGGGGGTGACCTTTAATAGAATTGGCGCCCACCTTGCTTTCCTTATTCAAGATCCTAATATAATGTAAGTTAAGATATCACATCTTCGATCTTATATCAGTAATTCTTGATTAACAAAGAAAGAAAAAAAGAGAAAAAATATTTTAATATGTGAAATATTTGATTTAATAATAGATGTATGTATTTTTTTCTTTAACAAGGTAAGTTTAAATGTTTTGTTTTTTCAAATAAAAAATATTTATAAAATTTAAACAAATAAGATTTATGAATCCCAATTGAATTGATATACGCATGGAAAGTAAAATATTATAAAATTAATTAAAACCGCATGCCATCAATTAAAAAGGGTCAATGCGGTTGTGTCTGTAATTTTTAATTATTGTTACTATAACATTCAATCACCTCTCATCTTCTAGCATTTAAACCCCAAAATGCATAGAATAATGAACCTAATTAACTTTTTTTTTAAGAGCATGAACCTAATTGAGAAAAAAAAATTGAATATCCTTAATTTCGTGTGATTCTTCATTTTTGCTTATTTGGTTTACACATATATTGGTGATTTAATTTTATTATTATCCTCTATAAAACAAACAAAGGAAAATGGGAAGAGCTTTTTGGAAAATAAAAGTATTTCATTTTCAGCGTTGGTGATTTTCTTAGCTTTTATATGATTTTAAATTAAATTTAAAGTGGACAAATCAAAAGCAGATCCACGTCAAAACAGTATGCAAAAGCATGGAAGCTAACGTGGTCCCTGCCTTACGCAACCAAAATTCCTGGCCTCATCTCCAACCCCTATATAAACAATCTCAAGCTAAAAACCGAGCATACAAAGGAAAACCAATTTCCCCCAAAACCCTATCCTCTCTTATTTATTTCTCTTACTTTAAAGGTAAAAAAAAGAAAGAAATTTCTATTTTTTTTATCCTTCGATTTCAGGTAAAGAATCGGAAAACTTTTGATTTCTTTCGACGATCATTATCGTTTATTTTTCCATATATTTTAATCTGTTTATTGGTTTGAGATCTTTGATCTTTTTAATCGGGATTTATTGTCGGAAAGAATGGATGAATTGAATTCTATAGAAACTGGCTTTTGGTTGAATCTTTGTCGTCTTATAATTTGAGATCTATTTGTTTTTTTGGTTGATTTGTTTCTCATGTTGTTCAATATTAAAGAACGGAGATGGTTATATTGTTTAAATAATTTTATAAGGACAATCAGTAAAAAAGGTTGGAATCTTTAAGGTTAGGAAAAAAAAAAAGGGAAAAATAAATTAAAATTGAATAAATAGCTAGTTCATTTGTAAATTTAAAAATTGATTTAGATGTAAATCCAACTTAGTGACATAATATATTAGTAAGTAGTAATGAAAATTTTCAAAGAAAAAAATTCAAAAGTATTCTTTTTTTTTGTTTTAAAATGTACTAATACTTTTAGCCAATGATGCAATTGCACGTAAATCTTTACAAGCTTTTACTTTGAATTTTTCTTATAAAAATTGTTTTAACTAAGATTTAGTAGTGTAAGTGATATGATATTATACTTCTATTCTATTGAAGATTAATATATTATTAGTTAACATATTAATTTTGGAAGTTCCAGTTGATAAGTAGCTTGTTTTATTTAAGTGTTGGAATGAATTATGTTTTCTTTGTATAATAATTATTTTTAAGTTTTAGTGAGCATGTTCCTATCTCTTAATATCATTAAGCAGCTTCCACATGCCTTTTCAAATTCAACATGAATTTTTATTATGAATTATGCTTATACCTATGGTGTCTTCACTTATGTTGATGTTGTTTGTTGAGGAAGCTTGCAGGTGCTGCTGCAATCAGCAGAGTTTCAAGTTGAACTGTGTCAACGTTCGAAGTTTCTTTTATGTCCATACAGGCCATTCCCTATTTGGGATCAATTGGGTTGCTTGGAGAGTATTGTCCTTCAGTTAGAAAAAAGATCAGACCTTTGTCAGACAAATTTGGCTGTATGCATCTTGGACCATTCCAAGAGCACCCAGATTTTCATGGTTGCAGCTGGTTGCAACCTTTCTTGATTGCAGAAGATCAGTCTGCTCTCATACCTTACAAAAGTTTTGAAGACTTTACTGCTGCGAACACTTTGAGTTCTAGTATTTGCTGCCTGTGACATTAAGATATTTTGTTTTGAATTGCTTTTCAAGATGGCTTTGCAAAACATAGGTGCTGGAAATAGCGATGATGCCTTCTACAGGTATAAGATGCCCAAAATGATCACCAAGATTGAGGGCCGAGGAAATGGCATCAAAACAAATGTAGTCAACATGGTTGACATTGCAAAGGCATTGGCAAGGCCAGCCTCTTACACAACCAAGTATTTTGGTTGCGAGCTTGGTGCTCAGTCTAAATTTGATGAAAAAACTGGGACTTCTCTTGTTAATGGATCCCATGATACTGCTAAGCTTGCTGGCCTTCTTGAGAACTTCATCAAGAAATATGTGCAGTGTTATGGCTGTGGAAACCCTGAGACTGAGATATTGATAACTAAGATTCAGATGATCCAATTGAAATGTGCTGCATGCGGTTTTGTTTCAGATGTCGATATGAGAGATAAGTTGACAACTTTCATCTTGAAAAACCCACCTGAACAAAAGAAGGGATCAAAAGACAAGAAGGCGTTGAGGAGGGCTGAAAAGGAGCGACTTAAGGAAGGTGAGGCTGCAGATGAGGAGCAGAAAAAATTGAAGAAAGAGGGAAAGAAGAAAGTGTCCTCTTCTAAGGAAGGTACCACTAAAGCTGGTTCCACAAAGAAGAAAGCTGGTGGCTCTGATGACGATCACATTTCACCTTCTCACAGTCAAGTTGATGAAAAGGAAGAGGTTGATGTGGAGGAGGATGACGATGATGTCCAGTGGCAAACTGATACATCACTTGAGGCAGCTCGGCAGCGTATCCAAGAGCAACTCAGTGCTGCGACGGCTGATATGGTCATGTTGTCTACAAATGAATCAGAGAAAAAGGCAAAGGTGACTACTAAGAATTTAAATGGCACCTCTTCACCACGGAAAGACAACCACAAGGCTGAGAATGGCAACTCAAACCTTCATGAGACCCTTGTTGAGGAGTTGAAAGCAAATTTGAAGAAAGGCGTTTCTGCGAATCAATTGAAGTCCCTTTTGGGATCTCTTTCTGGTTCTGGTCAGGAAAAGATTAATGCTTTGTTGGAGGCACTCTTTGATGGAATTGAGAAAGGTTTGGCGAAGGAGGTGGTTAAGAGGAAAAACTACCTTGCTGCTGCTGTTGCTCAAGATGAGGGATCACAGCTTCTTCTACTTAAAGCGGTAGAGTCCTTTTGTGGAAAGGTCGGCTCAAGTGCGTTGAAGGAAGTTGCTTTAGTTTTGAAAGCACTGTATGATGCTGATGTGTTGGAGGAGGAGTACATGCTACAATGGTATCAAGAAGGTCTAAAGGGGGAGAACAAAGACTCTCAGATATGGAAGAATGCGAAGCCTTTTATTGATTGGCTCCAGAGTGCAGAGTCAGAATCTGAGGAGGAATGACATGGTACCTCTTTCAGTGAGGGTGGTTGCCACCAATGGTTGTGTTTTTGCATTTTTTAAGGTGTTTTGTGTTATTAATAAAGAGTTGCCAGTGAGTCTGCCTTGAAGTTTGCTTTTGTTGTTTCATGGAGTGTCATTTTGTGTTTCAGTGTCTAGTATTTGGGTTTCTGCCATAATGTGGATCCGAGCGTGGACAGTTGAATGACATTATCCAAAGTTCATTTGTTCAAGTGAATTTCCGTTCTTCAAATCATATATCAGTTTGTTATGTTCAATTTCCTGGTGGTTATGCTTTACCGAAACAGATTACCTTTTTGGGGTATGCAAGTTTTGATGACCTGACCCTTCAACTGGGATTTTTTGAATTTTACTTAAACTGAAATCCCCTTGGAAACAAATTATGCTTTCCATAAATCTATTTCATTATCAAGTGGTGCAATGCTTGACTCAAAGTTGCCTCTAGTTGTGGTTAGCAATGGATGAGTTGGTCGAAAATATAGTTTCTTTTCCTTTCATTTTGGAAGAGTTGAAAACAAAAACTACTTTAGTTTGCTCTTTTTCGGATGCTTTTGTGCAAGTACAATTTACAGGCTTATGGTGTGAGATTATATGAATGTAGAGTATATGAGTAATACACAAAGTTTTTGCAGTCTATAGTAGAAATGAGAGAGAGAGAATGAGGGGCATTTTGTTGCCAATCTGCTGTTGGTTGCAAGACGCTTTCTCATTTGCTTCGCAAGTAACGAAGATAGTCTTTGAACCTAGCAATCTTTGTATGCTAAATTTATATATATACCCATTTCAATGTTTTTGTAACTGTACACAGAAGTAGAATATGCATTCATTCTGACCAAACATGAATCCCCTTCATTTTTTTTTTCTTCTTCCTCTAGCACCACCGGTAGATTCCTAAAGAAAGAGAGGACGCTGCCACGTTGCGTTTAATGTATTCGAATAAAACGTGAGTGTGACTGCTGCAGTTGTGGTAATTCACTTTCTTCATCTGACGCAGCTAGGGAAAAGCGAGGATCCTTCAACATAGTAAAATCATCATATGCAATTAGCTGCTAACAAACTAACCAGCAATTCTTGAGTAGCAGAAGCTGATAGCAGCGAAAGTATTTCCAACCTGATGGCGTCGGCGACGTTGGATAGCCGTGAATGCCTTAACCATGATATATATAGGCAACAGAATCCCAACGGTTCTCAACATTAGTAACTGCAACACACAGCAGAAAGTTAAAAAGACACTCATTTGCTGCAACAGTGTGCCTAAATATCTAGTTTCATGTGGCCTCACAGTGAACAATGTCAAAGAGTAGTCCCCAGCTCCACTGACTATGATTGGAAGAGTGTGGCGCAAAACAAGAAGAACCATAAACTGCACATAAGCATTTATTAGCAAATCTTGCATGACAAGAGTTCAATAATCTAATTCTCTACTACCAACAGAATAATCACTGTAACTGTCAAGTAAAAGCTAAACTATATGGTTATAACCAAACAATTTCACCAGCTGAGGCCCCACCGATATGTAAGGACTGGCTACATTACATAGCAAGGACACAACAGGGCCATTGTCCAGCCACCTTACCTCCTCTGCAGCTGACGACCCTCTGGCAATCAACCATCTTCCCTGTATCTTTTCTGCAAGTTTCTTATTCTTTTTAATTAATTGCATAATCACCTTGTTTTGAGAGGAACTTATTTTAAAGAAATTTTCAAATGAACCATATTTACATCAGTTATATATTTTTAAAATTAATTTCAAGCCCCCCCCCCCCCCCCATCTCCTTCTGAACAGGTAAAAGAGATGAACTTTAATTAAAACTACACCGAGAGAGAGGTACAATTATAGCAATGACACGGCAACAAATCAGGCTTCGAGAACTGGGAGCCGAATAATCATCAAAATCTGATTCCAGAAAATCACGATCCGTAGTAACCATTGTTATAAAATGAGGCGCTGGCAGGTCTCTCCTGGAAATTTCCCAATTTCCTCTGAGATTATTATAATAATGTTTTAATGAGTGAAGGAAAGCAATCATATCATATAAAGAAGACTAGATTTTAGATAGAAAGATCAAGATATACCTGAAGTTCATAGGAACACCTCCATAATGAAATAAAGGAGGGGGTGCTGTATAACCAGGCCTGAATTGCTGCATATTCCGAAAGAGAGTGTAACAATCAGTTTCTTTCAAATTATTCATGGAAAAAGAATTGCGGATAATTAACTGACAAATAAAACAATGGTTGGACCTGGTGGCAAATCTCACAGACGGTGTCACCCTTCTCATTGCACCACCTTTGAACACATTTGCGGTGGGCATACTGCAACAATCCAGGAAAAAGTAGCACAGGAAAACAAGTTATCTCACTTGCAACTACCTAATACAAGTAGCAAAGTTTGAATAGCCAAAGGAAGAAGGAGAATGCTCTCAGCGCATGCTGGGACTGCACTTAAGAGCTTTGCATGCTACTACACTATAACCAGTTGATATATGAATATATCATACACGTAAAGCATCATAAACTTGTCCTGTGCTTTTTTCTTGAGATGCACATTTCCAATATTTATGCCAAAAGGAAACTATGCAACCTCTAAAATTGTAACAGAGCTTCTCAAGAACACTTTATAATTCCATTACTTTAATGGCTCCCATATTGTTTTCAAGGCATTTGATCATCTTCACTAAAAAAGGGAAAATACCAGCCTACATGCTAGTTGACATTGTATTTTAGGAATACAGAGGCTAATGATTTAATTGATTTAGACATAAGACATCAGTTTTACAGTCTCCCAAAGTAACTTCCAAAGCCAAATGTATGACACCAGATGACGCTAAAATGTCGATCTGGCGAATAAACAAACTTTACGATCATAATTAATGCTTTTCAGAAAAGTACTAAACATTTTCAGAGAAGCTAAAAACACAGGCAACAGTTCTATGAAACTATTGATGCTTAAGAACCCATTAGCATTTAGCAATACATGCAAACATTTTTCCAACTTAACTGCATTAGAATAATTCAGGTCTTAATTTAGCAGCATTATGGCAAATTAAAATGATACAAAAGCGCATTTGATCTACGCATAGATTTTGAGTACTGACATTAAAATTTTAAGGAAAAAGAACCATTTGATCTGCAACTGACCTTCAAGCTGCCACGGCAGGAACAGGGTATCTCCATGTTCAAATCTTCATCCTCATCGTGGCATATCCTACATTCCACCAATTTACTTGGAGATGAACCAACATTCTCATCCACCCTATGAGATGAGAAGTCAATCATATCATCTTTGCTTGCTGAGGACATGCCTTGCTGTGATTGGTTTTTACTCTCAATAGCAGCTTCAAGAGTGGATTCCGTTAGTAGCCGATCGACAAGTAACACAAAATGATCTCCCATCCTTCAATCAATACCAAAACAAAGATAAAATTTGCAGAAACTGGGAGAAGTTAAAATGCGTACTAAATCACGTGCAATATAATTGAACTCCATACAACTAAACAAAAAAAAAAAAAAGAAATGGGAATGGTGGAAGTACCTCTAGAACAGTTTAAATTAAGAGCTGAATCTGCAATGGAAACAAACCCTTTTTCATTTCATGAACAGAAAAGTCATAAAAATGGGATCTTATAGGACTAAAAATGCAGATAAAATATAAATGGAAAAGTGAAAAAAATTCCAATTTAAACTTACGACTGATAAAAGTTTCTACCAATGTGTTAATCAAGACTTTTTTATCAAATAATTTTTAGCTTACTTGATACAAAATTTTCATAACCCGGAATCCGAAAACAACATAAAGCATAAAGATCTGCCTTGGTTTTCTTGGGAACAAAATGCATAATAAGAAAATGCAGCACTCCTTAGGAACAAATAGAGTAAATAAAAGTGGTCGAAGCCAAAATAAAAGTTGGCTACAAACCAACAGTCAAAAGAATAATCTTTAAACCACATCAAACATAAGGATTTTTAGATGTATTAGGCACAACAATGAAAAAAAAAAAATATATATATATATATAAGGGAAAAAATTAAAGGAAAAGGAGCCTTTAACTAGAAACAGAAAGATATCAAAGATATGCTACAAAAGCTGAAAATATCCCAATAAAGCAAAATCAAAAGAAAAATAAGATTGAATAAAAACAGGGCAGGAAAAGCTACAAGAAATGAGATGAACATGGAAAATCCAGAAAGGAAATTAGAAAAGAACAAAAACCCGGAAACCAAAAAAGCAAAAGAATTTGACCATATGGAAAGAGTGAAAGAGAAAGAGACCCATGTTTCAAAAAGCCATCAACTTGATAAATGAATAAGACTCCTTTGAAGTGGAAACAAATATAGTATGATTAACATGGAAAAAAGGTATTAATGCAATGGAAAGGAAAGAAGAGAGAGAGAGAGGCTTACAAGTAAGGAAATGGGATTTTCTATTGAACAAGAAAGCAACGATCTTGTTCTTTTTTTCCTTTTGTTTTCCTTCCTGGGTGGTTGTTTCTTCAAATGAAGAAAGAGATTGAGTGTGGTCGTTATCATCACCACCACCACAACAACTCCATTTTCATCTCAATTTTCAACCCAAAAACAAAGCAAAACACGAGATTCTAACGGCAAAAAGGCCAACACGATTGCTTGCCTTGATTCCTCTTACTGAACAGGTTTTTCTAGTGGCTGGTTTTCTCTTTTTTTTTTTAACCATTATAATTTATTGACAGAATTATCTCGTGGGACCACGTCAACTTGTAGTGAGATTCTGCAGTGACGCCAGGTGTGCTGAATCTGCTGATTTTGTCAGGTGGGTTTGGGGCCTACTTCGGTGTGGATGTTGGGGCCGCTTTGGAGCCTTGGAGGAGTGATCATCGCCGTAAATCGGACGCTGATGTTCTTTGTCTTGGACCAGATTTTCGTGGGGTCCTTTGTTTTGCAAAATCAATGTTATAATTAAAAGAAAAAAACACGAGATAAAAATAGAGCTAATTGATTACTCGCACAAGGGGGTGTGTTAAATGATTCCAGATTATGAATAATTCAATTTAAGTTGATAATTATTTGCATTTAAAAGTGAAGAGGCCAACAGTACAATGTTGTGGGTAAATAATATAGATTTTTAGGTCAAATTAAGTAATCAATCTCTGTATTTTATTAAGTTGGTAAATTTAATTTTCTATATAATAATTTATATAAAATAAATTCATGTACTTTTCAAAATTGATAATGTTAATTCAATTATTAACAACGCTAAACTTTTCACGTTATTTATACTAATATAATATTTAATTGTATTATTTTGATATATTTTTATTTATGTAATATTGAATTTGATAATATAACATCTAAAATAATGTAATAACTATGTTAACATGATGTTTATCAAATACAAATATAAATTTCAAGTGATGATGTGATTATTTATGTGACGCTATTATATTGTTGACTTAAATAATTGAATTGCTATTATCAATTTAAAAAAATATAAGAATTCAATATTTACAATTATTGTACATGAAAAAAAATTAATCTACCACTTTCGATAAAATGCGAAGACTAATTGCATCAAAAATTTTCTTATCTCAAATTGTTCAAACATTTTAGCAATTTCCTAAGACTGGATGTCAAATATGTTGTGTTTTGGGTTATAAATGAATCTTATAATTTTAGTGATTTAAAATTACGGATGGGGTTTTACCTTTAGTAAATCCCTATTTACTATCTACTTTATCCTTCTTTTGTTCTTCCCCAAAAATTCACAATTTCTTTCTTTACCTTTTACTCTCTTTCCAAAACCTAACAGCCTAGACTGCATCTCTCACTCTCTAGCTTAATATGTTTTCCTCCTTCAATGTTTGGGTGAGAGAAGCAATAACGAGCTAGAGACAGAGTGGGCTAGAAGACAATACATTAATTTTTTATTTTGGAAAACTACACTACTTTTCCTGAATATGACTGTGACTCTCCTAGATCCTTAGTTCAATTTTGCTTATTAATTTCCAAAATAATCATAGTTCTTCTTGCCTTTCCACTTTAATATTCACTTTAATAATGACAAAAGGTGAAACAAGCTTATACCTTTATCAGCAAGAAAAAACAAACACACACACCCAACCTTCAATAAAAAATAAGAAAGAAATTAAGAATACAAGTTCTCTCAATTTAAGATACCATTGCAGGCGCAACCTACTTGTTAACTCCTTAATTAATCTACTTAATACTTCAATTAAAAGTAAATTTAATGAGTTAAATTACCTGTCCACTAGATCCTATTGCAGACTTAAAACATGATAAATAAATTTCATATTATGCATGATAATTGTAACTAAGCAGCACTACTTAGGCCAAATACATGATGCCTATTATATTTAATTACTTCAGTCATCGTGTGACCCTAATCTTATTCCCAAGCACTCTGTTTCATGAATAGAATGAATGTTGGCAACATAGAGAGGGAGATGATGGCTTCAGCATCATACAGCACTCTAATTTATTTGTTAATATTGTACCCTAAAACTTTATTCTCAATCTAGTCTTATGTAGTGCATGCTTAACCTTGATGTTTTAAAAAAATGTCCAATCCAATCACAAAGAACCCCACCCACCAAACAGAGAGTTCATTAATTTATATAAAGTATATATTTTTAATTTAAAAAGAGAAATTTAAACTTTACTCTTTTAATATTGTTGAATTAAATGCTCATATATTCTTTTCTCTCTCTTTTTTGTGCAAAAGATTATATAATTACAAATGTTTTGAACTATCTCTATCTTTTGATGTCTTTTTTTCTAAAATCAGAAAAATTCTGATATCTTGGTTCGTAGAAGAGATGTGGTTATCAATTATTGTCATCGGCTCCCTTTTGTCAACAGTTCTTCAATCCTACATTAAATTCAGAGAATGGGCTGTCCCATTTATTAGCTTCACTAAATATATTCTAGACCTACACAGTTTGAAGTGGTGTTACTGTTTCCAGCATAATTTTTGTAGCATCAACATCTTAAAATATAGACAGTACCTATTTTTTTGGTACCAATCAAACACAAAAATGTTTCCCTATTCTTTTGGTAAATAATTAATTACATAAAGCAGGAAAGATCAAATTGCATAATATTTTTTTACCAAATTAAACTTTTAATTTATCACAATCATTTGAGCCTCCAAGCAAATCGATTATCAAATGAACATTTGAACAGTTTGAAGTGCTTTTCCCAATGAACCTAGAGACAAAGAAGCGTTTAGCAATGCTAGCTACCTGTTCATTATAAAGAATTAGGCCATTAATATTCTTTTATGGAAATAAGAAAGAAAATCAATGGATGCATTTGGCCTGCCTATACTATGTTCTGTGCAGGAGTTTAACTAAAGGCAGGCATCCAAAAAAAGAAACTTCCATTTTACAAATAAAATGGACTATATTTAATAGATATTATTAACTTATGTTATATTATCGTCTGTCATTGCGTTCGAATCAATATAATGACATAATTTGTAAATTAATAGATGTCAGATCGAGACAATAATTTTTTGTGTTCAGGTACCCAAATACAACCTTGGCTTAGAAGAAGTAATGTTGTTCTACACCCTTTAATTTTGGAGGTTAGTTGAAACTTTGCCATCTTAGGAGTCGGGGACCACGGTACTGGAGGATGTTCACATATATAATTCCCTTGTTCCCTTTCAAAGTATTTTTCGTTTAAATATTTAAAAGCAATTTTGTAGGGATCTATACAGGCAATTGGTTTCATTGTTAAGTCTTGATTCATTTCGAAATCTTAAGGAGAGCCATAACAGTCCCTAGTTCTTCATGAATGCTTGTAACATGCATGCAATAGGGTAATTATCTAACCCTTTATTAACCCTCAAAAGTGCTAGAAATAAATTTGTAGATATTTGTACCTTAAAACTTGGAGCTCAAATCAAGAGATTTTGATTAGCTTAGTTAAATATATTGTTTTTGGATTTGATGTCGTAAAACCCAAAAAGAAAAAAAAAATCACACCATTAAAAAGTTGAATAGAGAAATGTGAGGTTTATGGGTGCAATACTTTGTGAACAGCTGACATTTAAATTTGGTATTTTATGAAATGGTTGTTATTGATAATTTACATTAATTGCTCTGGAGACGAGAAGATCACTGATCAGGAAGTTTTTTTGAAAGGCGATGTATTTGTATAATTCATCAACCAGAGTCACAAAGTGTTGTGGCAAGGCTTTGGCCTTTTTCAATGGCCAAAGACTTATTACAGCAAACTACAAGCCTAGATCCTCAGGAGAAAACAAAGAGGGGTTGGATCGTGATTCCCAAAAGGTCGTCACAACGCATCCCGCTCAGCATATCTGTACAGAAGAAAACAGCTACACATAGGGCCATAGCAGGTACAAACCTGGTCCCTCCCCAAACAATCAACAAGCCAAGCACCCAGAAACAGTACTGACAGGGAAAACCAGAAACTGGGACAATCCAAAAGAAATCCTAAAACGAGGCTGCGCGAAGCCTCTCGGTGCCATCACCACACAAATCAGGAAGAGCCAGACGTTAGTCATGCACAAGCACATTTCTCACCACTGATGATGAAGTTGACATGATCCCCACAAGATTTAGAATCTGATTGTTAGGTACTTAGGTCCCAGTACAACTCTTGAATTTCATATCGGGTTTTAGTGGAATTTTCCTTGTTTACATAAAGTTGATCTTTTCTTCTCTTTTCATTTATTTATTCTTCGATAAGCTGTCTTAACACAACTCTCCTTCATCTACCCACTAAAGTGCTTAAATTCCCTGAATCACAAGGAACTCTTAATTATATTATGATAAGCCCTTTTCTGAAGCTTGAAGTGCTTCTTTTGTTTGGTTTTGATATCTTATCTTGATTAGTCTAATTGTTGAATGATTAACCCATAAACTTTGCGTAAGCTCATTGAATAATTAATTAATCAAGCACAAACATAAAATTCATAATAGATCTACAAGTGATTTCCTTAATCAATAGATTTTTATTATGAAGCCTCAGAAATATAAAACATTACAAATCACCACTACATCTTTATCAAATCTTTTCTTCCATTGCGTTAAGCAACAAACCTAAGCAGAGTTGGAGTAGTTGTTAGGGAAATGTACATTTTAGAGGTTTTGTTGGCCAGTGCTCTAAACCTACCTGTTAAAAGATTGTATTTTTATAATAAATATTTTTATATATTAAATACAATAGTTGATAAGTAACATGATAATATTAAATTAGATTTTATTAGGGGGCTGTTTCATGGATTCTTAATTTTCGTAAAAACTCATAGAAATTGTGAAAATTATTTCAACAAATTAATATGTTTCGTAATGTTATTGGTTGTATTTTTTTTTTTTGGAATATCTTAAAAGAAGCTAATCATTGTGCTGATTATCTTGTAAAAATGAGTTTGAACAGAAATAAATATTTGCACGTAGCAAGGTGTTGGAAGAATATTGTACGGAACAGGTCGACGTAAATTTATGTGAAGAGGGGGTTTGTTGGTGATGGCATTTGCAGTAAGATATTGAGCTAGGGTCAAATCGTACTGCCAGGTGCTATTGTTTTGGTGTAATACGTTATGAACAAGGTTGTTCCACTGTTTTAAATAGTGACGATGTAAACCCATGGTTGCTTGACGTGTCTGTACTAGTCCAACTGCTTGCAGTGTTTATAGTATTCTGAAGAAATCATGATGTAACAATGATAATTTCAATATTTTGAATGGATACATATTGCTTATAATAATACTCCTAATAAGTGTTCTTTAAACACTCGCTATTTCATTAACAAAATCAGCTTTTTCTTTAAGAGCTGATCAAACATACAAAACAAAACTAGAAATGGGATTGGTTTCTTGGCTAATTAACAGCATTAAAACTTTGGCATTTTACTAAAAATTTCATTATAGAGTTACATAAAATTAAATCAATTTGGCTTAAAAACCCTTAAATTCTAGGAAAAAACGCCCAGCAAAGAATCTCCACTAATGTTTTGTTTTTGCAGCAAGCAAGTGTCGGCACTGGGCAGATCAAATCATGCATATGCATGAACTTATGTGTGGCATATATTTAATGCGCACATGGATACCATATCCAAGTGCTAAAAGCCATACAAAATCATTGCAATGGAAATCTCATGAGAGTGCATGCAGATTTGTTAGCATGTAAAAGTTTCGGTTGACAAGCCCTGACCCATACATAGTTTTATTATCTGTTCGGATAATGACTGAACCCTAACTAACAGATCATATTCATTCAGTAAAATCTCTCTCTTGTTACCATTCTATAAGCTTCTCTCTCTCTCTTTGTATCACTTTAATTGGCTGAGAATCTCATTTCTAGAGGTGTTAGTGTGGAGATTTGGACTTAACTACAAAAGAATTTTTACATGGTATAGATGCAATTCTCTGCATATGTATCACAGATCCCCGATATGGAAATGGAATGAACTGCTCTGAATTACCTCGAACACCTCTAACGACTATGAAAATTTTGAAACTAGGTAGCAGATGGAGAGTCTATCAATATGCTTTTTCTTCTTGATAAAGGAGTCTATCAATATTCTTGTCATTCTTATTTGAAACATTACATTTAATGGCCCTATAACTAGAACTAAAATATCTTTTTCATCATCAGTAATAAACAAAAAATATATGAAAAATTTACATTTATATTATTCCAAAGAGGAAAGATCAAGTTACAGTCTAAAAAACTAATTCATTCTACACCATTCTATAATTTCATGTATAATTAATATTTAATAAATCAATCATTAAATTTAATAATTTATTTATACCCATCATGCATGTAAAGTTTCAAATTAATCCGATATTTTTATCATATTAATTAATCGAGAAAAGTGTTTGTTTCTAATATATATTTTAATGGTTGAAATTTTTATTATTATTAAACAAATAATTAGATTTTTTTATTAATTTAAAATTTAATATGCATGATCTACGTGAATAGAGCATGAACTCTAATAATTAAAATAATCAAATATAACTAATATGAAAAATAATGAAAGTGTTTAAAAAGTAATTTAGTTTTACACCAATGTAAGTGGATACCTCCTCTATGGTAAACAATTAATAATTAAGAAATGGGACGCTTACAATCCCTTTTTATTTACCTTTACCTCAATAAAATGCGAGTACGAATTTATATTGAATATCATTTATGCACCCTCCATTCATACTTGAAAACTTGGATCTGAATTGTTCAAAATATGAATTTGGTTCCTCTACTAATTTAAATTGACAATTTTAATCTTTTTACCTCAATTTTAATGAATTCCATATTTTAACTTTTTTTTATTAAAAATTAATTTAAGAACAATTGATAGTAATGTTAAGTTCAATCGCGTACTTGACTTTTTTATTGATGGTGTGACATGTCAACTTAAATTTTCTTTGACACATGACACATGTTAATACAAAAAAAATTTATATTAAATGAAAAAAATAATAAAATTTTTTTATAAGAATTTAATAATATATTAATCATTATTTAATTAATTTTTTTATTTTTAAATTAATATATCATACATAATTAAAAAATTAATTCATCTCAACATATCAAGTCATCATCAAAATATGATGTCATTCAAATTAAAGGCAAAGCTTTGACATTGTTACCAATTGTCCTTAGTTCCAATTTTTAATGAAAATTTAAAGATTAAATTCATTAAATTGAGGATAGACGGACTATATCCGTTGAATTTGATATAGTAAAAAGATCGAATTCAGATTTTAACATTTATTTAATTTTGTATATGTTATTAATGTTCCAAGAGGCCGGAAAACCTTCATAGCTGCCCAACCCTTGGAGCCCAATATGGCATTGTTGCGTGACCTGGGAGACACATGTAGGGCCTAATACCACTCAAACCGGTTCCAACCCTAAGGCTCTTAATTTCTTAAGGAGCCTACTAATTAGACTCGATGATTAGAAAATTGGAACCGGGGGTGTTATTCTTTCTTATTTAATAAGAGTATTGTATTGTAAGCAAGTGACTGTTCGGGCCAATTGAAGTTTACATGTTATTACGATAGTAGAAATATAAGAAAAAAAAAATAGAAGAAACTATACTTTCAAGACAAAAAATTTATAAGATTTATGATAATTAGAGATAGGAAACCATTTTATTACTTTTTTACGAAAACATTTTATCAGTTTTTTAAGGAAAAATTTAATTTGTATAAGCAAGTTTTCTTTGTTTAAGAACAATGAAATCTATATACGAAATTGGATATTATTGTGTCCGAGCCTCCAAGGCTATGATCTTGGTTAACAAAATTATATAAAGAATTATCTAAGGGGCAAAATTAGTCAATTTTTGTTAGAGGGTTAAAGACCAGAAAACTTTATATAAACAAATATCATATAACATTGAGAAAGCACTAACACCAATACCGCTTACACGATAAGTATAATGCAAAATAACTATAGAAACACCATTATATAGGATTTTTCATGACCAAATTATATATTGTATCTACCAAGTCAAAAATAATTTATTCAACTATATATCATTTGATTCCTTAAATGAGAACTAAGAAGGAAGATGATCAAAGACCAATAAAAATTATATTATAAACTTTAAGTCCTAAACCCCTTAATTTGAAAGGATGATACCTAACTTTCAGTGTCATTAAACAAATTAATTTTTCAAAAGTTAGAGGATCCTCTTATCAATGTAGCAAGTATATAGTAAAAAAATATTAAAAATTTAGAAATTTTGAAGGACCATGACCTCCCCATAAATATAGCACCCTCCACCCTGAATTATAAAATAAATAAAACGAAATTAGTGAATATATCTGTGAAAATTAGAGCATCTTAGTGGTGGTGCTCCTATAAACGGTAACGTGGCTTCTGGTTGATTGATGGCGATGGCTGTGTTTGCTATCTCTTATGCAGGGATATTTCTTAATTTGGTTTTTCTGGTCTGTCATGGCTGATTTCATGCTTGAACCTTTCTTGACTTGATAACCAGTCCGTGTTGCTTCTTTGGGTCTTTTCTCTGCCAGTAATTATTGTGGCCTCTCATGTGTGTTTAGTGCATTTTGTGGTTGTCGTTGAATATGGTTAGCTTTCATGTATTGTGTGTAGCTCTTGTATAGAATTTTTGTACAGTGAATCCTTTCCTTCTTGTTGCTTTTAACAAGAAGGCCATCACACTACCACCAATTAAGTGGTGTTGTGGTCTTCTTCCCGCAGCCACCCTTTTTTGTTTGTCTGCGGCCTTTTTGATCATGTAAGCTGCGCTTTTGTAATCCTGTATTGATCAGCAATGAAATTTTTACTTCAGCTGATCTCCATGAAAAAGAGATATGATGAAATTTTGAAGAAAGGATGAAGCATTTCTATTCATAAATTTCTTCTTCAAACATACTAAAAGAGAATTAAATTCTTCTACTACAAAAGAGATTGTTTTCTTTTGAAGGTACTTTGCTGCTCTTCACGCTTTTATTCTTGGTGGCAGCGGCATAATTCCATTTCATAGCTTACTGGATGCTGCTTGAAAAAGAAAGAAATGATCAGCCAGACTATATTCAAATCAAAAGGATATAATTAAATTCATTGAAACTTTAATGAAATCCAGCAAAGATGGAATATGAATTACTCTTTGCAGTTGATGGTGGGATCAATGGGCACGGAGACGGTAACGCCACACAACTGGGGAAGCTGCTTAGCTTTCTCAGGCTTAACCCCGAAAGCTGGGGCAGCCTTCTCGAAACATTCACACAGGTCCCTGCGTGCTTGAGTGGTGGTTGCCGCAGTGTTCACAGTAGTCACGGCTAAGCAGCAAGGGAAAATGGGTGCGGGTGCTGCGCCCGTCAAGAAAGGCTGGCAAGGCATCAATGTGGTTATGGCCTGCTGGCATGTCATTGCCTCCACAGCGTATGCAGTTGCAACCAAAATCACAAAACCCACAACCCCAAGATCAATAGACCAAGGAAAACCCAGGACTTTCTTCTCCATATTTTCTTTTGGTGATTCTTGCAGCAAGAGAATAAGATAGATGCTTGATTGATTGTTATATTCCTAGGAGCTCTTTGTGTTTGGCCTTTGCTACTGGGTACTTATTTATAGGGATTGCTTTGGTTCTGTGATTAAAGTTGAGTTAATAGGTACTTAATACGCATAATTAATGCATGTGCTGTCACTTTCCTTTTTTCAGAAGACTCTCATATTATATATGAAGAAATCAATTGCTTGTTAAGTGGGATGATTTCAGCAATCCCTCCTCAAGTTTTGTTTTTTCTCTTCTCCATTAAAAAGTTACTTTTTTTAACTCTTAGTGGTGGAGTGGATTGTATTCTTTATGTGACTTTAAACCCACCCAAAGTCTTTCAATTTCACACTTCTTTTTCATTTCCATTTTGGGTTTTGGAAAGTGAAAGGTTTATTGTTTGATATGTGGTGGGAGTTTCTCCATAAACAGCCGAAGGCCCTTCATCATTTATTAGTTTAGTCTTTTTTTTTATTTGGGTTTGGTGGATTTTATTTTTAGTATTACATTTTTTTCTCCTTTGTTCTTTCCAAGTTGTTACTAATAATTATTGAATACATTTCATTTAATTAAAATTTCTTTGTTAGGGGGTCTATGTTAATGCGTTTTTTGTTAATCAATCTCTTCCAGGATATAGTCTAACATGTTAGTTTCCTTCTCTTTATCTGTTAAACTAATATTGAAGAGTAAAAAAAAAAAAATTGCAGCAAAGCAACCACAATGTTAGGGATTTGCGTTTTTGTCTTCTTGATAATTCACTAAATTTTTAATAAAAATCCTAAACTAAGGTTAAAGACCGAATAAGATGACAATGAAGACTAGGTTTGATTTTTTTTAATTTTTTTAAAATTCTTCACTCAATTTATTTGAATAGGTGGCATGGTAAAAAGAAGAGTAATAATCCGATTTCTAAAAGCTAAATGCTCAAATGGAGGCTAAACTTTTAGGCACTTTTTTAATTAAGAGTCAAATATTTCAATTGTAATAATTAAGGGCCAAATATTTCGATTCTTTACAATTAAAGACTAAGTTGACAGGTGGATAGAGCGTATATCACACACAATAGAAAATCACATTGAAACTGTAATTGTTACATGTCATGTTAAAAATGTAATTGTATATCATGTTGAAAATTTAGTTGTTAAATGTCTTGTTGAAGATTTAGTTATTACATATTATATTGAAAAATTTAATTGTTACATGCCATGCTATAATTTGAATCGTTTTTACTTGACAGAAAAAGCTTTTTGATAAAACTACCGTTCTATATCTTATCCTTCCAAGTCAGTGTTCACGCCAAATGCATGTCTTACACATGCCAAACACCTCTTACCTTAGCCCTGAATTATAAGAAACAAAAAATGTTTAACTCTTGATTATTACAATTGAAACATTTAGCCCTAAATTAACAAAAATTCAAAAGTTTTGGCCCCAAATTCAGCATTTAGTCAACTTCGAAATAATAAATGTTATTATTGTGTCATCTGTCACGTGGCATTGATATCATCAAAATGACACATCAACACGTCATGTGGTGTATAATATGGCATAAAAGTACCAATTGTGTTATTGACTAATGGAAGTTAATCAACATTTGGCGAGAATGGCTTATTTGACTCAAAAAATAAAGTTCAAAGACTTAATTGAATGCAACAAAAGTATATGGACTTAATTGACTTTTTTAGTATAATTTAGAGATTTATTTAGATATTTAACCAATTATCTTTTTATAAATTTTTTTCATTTAATAAATTTATTTTATCAAATTCAAAAGAAACAACACATTAAATATAATTGTTTAATGAATGTCACCTTCATTGGTGCCTCTAGACACTTATTAATAGCTCCTTTTTATTAATTAAGTATAATATCTTAATTAATCATATGTACAATTATGGCTTACCCGGTAGACAAAACTTCTTAATTAATTTTTAATTATATGCTCATTTGTTTCATAGTACAATAAAACCTTTATAAATTAATATTTGATAAATTAATAATTTTGATTAAATAATATTTTTGATAGGTCTCAACTTGAGACCAATATAGTAAATTAATAATTTGTTAAATTTATAAGATAATATATTTTTTAAAATACATATAGGTCTCACTTAATATATAAATTAATAATCTTCTTATACATTAAAATTATATATATACATGACTCAATTAGGAGGTTTTTGTAAAATATGACTCTAATATTATTTGTTTTTTTTTAATTTAATATCTCTTTGGACCTCATCTTTATCTTTTCTTAATGCATTAAGAAGTTTTCGTGTAGTGTTCTCATATTGTAAGAGAAAATTATGTAATATAATTGTTACTTTGAGTGCATCTTTGCATGAGATATACTCTAGTACAAAACTATCGACTTTACTTCATTTTCTTCGCCATTTCCCATGACGTCTTCAATAATTTATTCATCACAAATAATCATAATTCATAATTCAATAATTAGGTAATATTCATATAATTACAATACATAATACATGTATTAAGTTCAATGTTTTAGGAAAAAAAGAAAACATACATTGATATATTAATTTTTATTAATTAATATATAAATTAATAAATTATTAATTTATCGATTAAAAAATATCTCAATTAATTAATAATTTTTATAATTTAAAAAATATTAATTTATAGAGATTTTATCATATTTTTTGTATTTAACTTTGTTTTTTATTTATAAACAAATATATTTTAATTTGATAGTTACTGTAACTTTTTGTTAATCACTCCAAATGATTTTAAAATTCGTGACCTTTAATTTCATTATAATTATTCTACTTTCCAATGGATGTGCTTTTTGATCTTTTGAAATGTGATATATTATCTCTAAACCTTATTTATGTTTTTTATATAAAAAAATTATTTTGTTATTCACAAATGGAGATGATAAATTTCATCGTATAAATGCAATAATTTGAGTCTAAATACCACTAATCCAACAATTTAATTTTCAAATCTAAATCATGTGAGCTTAACAACTTAAAAGTTATTAATGTAATTGACTTAAATTTTTATATAAATCTTAATAATTACATTTACATCTAATACTTAAACCACGAGGAAACACTTGTGTTTGATATGCTACTTGGTGTATGATATGCAGAACAACTAACGTAAGAATATGATTTTTTTTAATAAAAAAAATTAAAATTCTAAACTTGAAAAATGAAAGGATGGGATGATGTAATATGGAAAAGTTACATTCCTTCTTTTATATAGTTTAAGTTACATGTACTGTTGTAATTTTTTAATTTGTTTTACACAAATAGAGGGCCAACTTGTAATTAGGTCCACAAGAAAATAAATTAAATAAGCGGAGAAGGGGGGGGGGAAAAAAAGGATGGCACTAACTAATAAAGGAATAATTTAGCCATACAGGATCAGAAATAAACGTTAATATAATTGGCAATTCAATGATTAGTTTGGATTTCTCTCGAAGTATTAAACTGATGTTACGTAATCCAGAGAAAGCAAAAATGACAAAACAAATATAAATGTGTATTATTAACTTTTCCTTTAATGAAAGAATCAAAATTATCCCTATAATTAATAAGTACCAATTAACAAAGGCCAAACCTAGTTACTTCATATTAAAAAATTTAATTGAGAGTAGAGCTCGATTTTTTTTTTTAATTTTAAAAAATAATATCTGGACAAAAGTTGAGGTTATTTTTATTTTTTTAAGATAAAAAGAATAAGATGGAAAAGAGTGTTGGGTCGAGTTGGCACGTCATATCTCTAAATAGGCCATGTGCCAGCCCATAGGCATGCCCCATCCATGCCTTGTTAACGCCTTTAGGCCTTGTGGTATCACAGGGGCCATTGGTTTGGGGGAACATGAAGTTGATTACATTCTTTTAATTGTTATTGAAATATATTTTTCATATATTCAAGTGATCAAAATGATTAATATTGTATTCATTTGTGATGTATGCATTAAAATTTAAATTGGAAAAAAATGTACCTAATAGAGTTTAAAAATGAACAGACGGTAGATAAATAGAATGCTGCAGATGCCACAAGGGTTATTGACATTTCAGTCTACAGATTGTATAAACTACACGACATCCTACTCTCATGTAATTATCTGCCATTCAAGAATAGATGCTTGGGAGATTATGCAAGGAGGAACATAATGGAATGAATTTGAAAGAATATGAATCCCACAGGAAGTTTTAAAAATAATCATTCTGTTGTAGATTTTTGACACAAAAACTTCATCTGCTGGTTGATGCTGATAAGGCTATAGTAGAGATCACCCGTACCAAAGAATTTTTGCAGCTGTAACATCTTTTCTACCTTCGAATCTCATTGCTGAATCATTAAAATCTAGCCTGCAATGGATCTGTATGGCAAAACAATCTTCAGCTTGCTGAATAAAAGAGAACAGATTGTCAGATATAGTAAAACAGCATTGTCTTTCTTGTTAAGTGAAAGTTAAGAATCCATTAGGAATAGTTTGCAGAAAAACAGACCTGCTTCATGTGCAGTCTACAGTTCATCTTAACTCCTTGCATATGTTGAAAAAGTGACTAAAATCCATATCACAAATCCCTCACTTTAAACAAGGCAACACTGTAGTTGATATTTTCTGTTTCCTGTTACATTGATGTGCCTAGACTCTACAGTTTACCGCAGCTTATCAAATGTTGAAATCTTAAATGATCAGTTCTCACTTTCAGTTCAAGTTCAGATTTCCAGGAAGTTAATCGTGGTTTAAAGTTTGATGTTTGGCTCGAGAATTAAGGTGAAGAATCAAAAGGATATCAATTTCAACTGGTTAGCAGAACATTTTATGTACATAAAAGAGAAAAGTGATCGGTTTGTGAACTGCAATTAGATGATGGAAGGGCAAGTCAATTGGTGCCAATCATATGTCAACAAAAGAAACCCTGAAATTAAAAATGCTTGAACGAACCTTAGAGGAAAGAAACCAGCAGCTTCAAGTAGACATATAGATACAATGAAAGAGAGAGCAGAGCAAACACATGCTGCCAAAACAGAAGAGCAGAAGCTTCCCTAACTGCATAACCTCTCAAGCTCGCCATTGCTCCTAACAATATGGCACTCGGTGTTGTGTATTGCAGCAAAAGCACAAATCTGTATAATGAATTGTCAGAGATCAAAAAATTCCATCTGTCAGCCAAATAGATTACTCCAATCCCAGCCAACGGAAGTATCAAAAGCCTTGCGACAATGATGCCAATGGTAGTTCGAATGCCAAGTCTAGATTCATTTGGTCCTTCCCTGAGCATTCCTCCAAGAACAAGCATAACTGCAGGTACCGTTGCCTCAGAAATCATGGCCATGCTGTCTGTGATGAAGTCTAGAGGAGCATCAGAACCAAAAACTATGGGTTTTACTTGTGGAATGATCCCAAGAAGAATAGCTAATATAGTGGCAACCAAAGGAGGCTGAAGAATATGATGGATCGGCGTACGTTCTGCAACAATTCTAATCTTTTTAACTACATTAGGCTCAGCCAAACACCTATTTGACTTGGTACCACTTGGACTTTCCTCTTGTGTCGTTTCAACATCCGGAATATCAGACTGAGATACACCAGAGTGGCTATGAAACAGCCTTGCTATAAAGGGTGTTTTGCAGTGTTCGGTTTCTCTGTCCTCAATTCCAGCCCACTCAGCTTCAATAAGAAGTGGAGTACTGATATCATTTCTTGGCAATTCCTCAATCTCAGTACTCCCTTCCTCGACAACCGCATAGAACTCCATCGGTGGCTCCATCATGTGATAAACAAGAGTGTAAACAAGAACAACAGAAACCCATTGGGAGAATGATGCATATGCAATTCCATCATAGCATGTATCGCCAAAAGGGTTATCTTCATTGTGGCACACTGATGAAACAACCGCAAGAGGAATATTTCCCGTGTTTCCGAAAGCTGTCATGATCACCGTGAAACGAAAGAATTCAGGCGGCGGCCTGCATATTAATGCCACTAATAACCCCAGTATGCAACCAATGGCTGTACTAATGACAACATTCACTGGAATAAACCACCATTGACTGAATTTCTTCACACTAATGACTGGACCAAGGTGAGTGAATATCAAACAGGGCCAGAATAGAACAAAAATAAGCTTGCTAAGAAGCTTAAGAGTAGGTCTTGGAATCATTTGGATTTTTGGGTGGGAAAGAAGTAGCCCAATTAGAGCTATAGAGAGGAGTTTCAATACAGGCAAAACTGCTTGAACTACACATTCTGTTGATTTCAAGTCCCTATTCAAAATGGCAAGTAGAGGCTCCATCATTTACTGTAAGATAGTGCAATTAAGCTCTATTGCAAATGCAAAAACAATCAAGGATCGAGTTTAACAATGAAAAGAAAGACAGTGAGAGAGGGCAAGAAAATGCGGTTCAACTTATAGATATTAATCAGTTTAGCATGAACAACTATTTAAATCATCGTTTTACTCTTTTGTCTTAATTGGATCATGGGAGGAAAGCTCTCTCAAAGTTCACTGTCTCACCGGTAAATCCAAATGCATAGTACTCCAAGACTGAAACTCAATTCTCAGAACTCTATGCAGATAAACACAAGGAAAAGCAAATGGTGAGCCAAACCAATGAGCTATAATTTCTTTTAAAAGACGGACAAGATCGGAAATGATCGAGATAGAGAGCCAGTCAACAAGATGGAAACTGCCAAGAAACTTCACTTAGATCCCACAAAGCCCACCAAATTATGCCAATGAAGTGCCTAATGTCTCGATTAACATGGAAGAAAATGGGGTTTATCAGATAAAAATGATGATTTAAACCAGAAAAGAGTTGAAAGAATGGTGAAACATTGATTGAAGAAATAGGAACAAACTTGGCTTAAGAGTTGAGAAGTTGGACATGGTAGCTTAGAGGCTACACAGAAAGGAAACCGAAAACATTGGAAAGTGCCGATCACAAGAATGTGCAGCATGTTAAGGTTGATGAGTTTCTTACAACAACGATTTAATTGTTTTCCAGCGAAAGAAAAGGGCTGACATTCCTAGCTGTCGGCATCATATTTTATAGCTACTAGTCGTACGGGCTAGGCTGGCTGTCTGGTATCCATTTTAAAAGTAGTATTGAAGAGGTTGAAAATAACCAGCACCTACCAACACATCCAACTATTTTGGTTTAGCACTTTAGACGGTTCTGGTTTGTCTGTCACTGGCCCCATTTGCAGGTTGCTGTAACACTAAATTTTCCTTAAGTGTCATCTACCATTCTTCCAATGACAATTACTTGTGGAGCCATGGATACTGCCCCTTTCATATCCTTGGTGGCTTGGCCTTCCTTACCTTAATAAATGCTTTCTGTCAAAGGACAATTGGCTTTAGCTCATGCACATCGTGATTCTTGTTAAACTTTCCTTCGGCAAAGCGAAGAGTCGTTTCTCCTCTTCACATATCCATTAAAGCTTGCAGTTGCCATTCATAGTAACAAAAGAAGCTTTATGTTTGTGGAGGATTACTTCCAGTGCTCTTAGACATGTGGCCTTTTTTGGGAGTCACAAATTTCAAATCACATCTTCTAGGAAATGTGGTGACACTGTGTTATTCAGTTATCACGGTAAGTTTAAGGTTACCCCATTTGAAGGTGACAATCACACCATTCGCATGACGCACGTTTTGAGCTTGAAATGCTTTTGGGCTTATAAGTGGTAAGCATATTCCTCTTATACATTCCCATCCTACTAAATCCAATTCAATCTATTGAAAAGGAACAATCAGTAACAGTGCCAGAGTACTCAATGGGATGGGACTCAAACTTAATTAGAGAATGAGAAACAACTTATATTAGTTTATCCACACACCACAAAAAAAAAAAAAGAAAAGAAAAAGATTCTCAAATATCATACGAATTTTCACATTTATGAATAACTAGTAATTATAGAACTCTACTGTGATCTGCAATGAAAAAAAAAATTCCCTTCACCATAGTTTTTTTTTTTTTGTGTTCGTGCGGTTTGTTTTCTTTGTAAACACTGATTTTGATTTGAACTGTAATGAAATTTTTAATTTTTTTTTTTAAAAAATTATAGTACTCTACTCGTTATAACAGAAATTAAATCTCAAAATAATTAATCACTCTTTGAATTAGTTTTTTTGTGGATAATTAACTGTACAATTCTAATTATATGATGGAGCAGGTAAGTAAATAAACAAAATTGATGAGCAGGCTGAATTTCATAAACCACGTTTGGAGAATGGCAGTGCACATGTAGCATGCCGCGCATGTTCCTTTCACGTAGAACCCGTCAAAAAATTATGCATTTTAATGCAAAATTTTCTATTAACAAATCGTAAAAAGATACAAAATAATATATGTTATTTATATATATGCATCCATCATGGTGATCCTATCATCATTTGTTGGACTTTTGCGAGCAATGTTTTGGTCTTGCATCAGTTCTTTTACATATATTATGTACGGATCATACTTTTTAATTAATTAATTAAGCTTAGTCGTAAACACCCTTGTAATTAATCATTGATCAAGTTTGAGATCTACCGATCCAGCATGGAGCAGGTGGCTTGCAAATACAAGAAAATTTTTATGATAAGAAGAAAAATAATAAATTAAGACACTGACCTGTCTGACATATGGCAAAAAATTTATTGACCACTTGAGGCATATTTGAAAGTGGTCGAATCGTTGCAGTCCCTCTTGATACTAAGAAACGTCCAAAAAATTAGAGACAGTTTTAAATTAATCATTATTTTTAAGACAGATTTGATCCGTTGATTTAAACAAGTTATAGTATTAAAATATTTAAGAAATATTTTATTAAAAGACTCATTATCATTGTTCAGGCTTAGCCTGACACGTAACAAAGGATCCCGACGCATTTGGTGGGTGTCATCCAAGAGCCCGTTGGGTCGGTGCAGGCCGAGACCATTCTCCATTTCTACGTCAAGATTTGGGCCCAGTTTTCTGATTTCCTTCCATTTTTTGGCTTTCGACTTTTCTTTCTTTCTTTCTTTCTTTTTCCTTTTGTGTTTTAGGGTTCAATTCAAGAGTAAGCTCTCAAACTCTCCTTTTAAGCTTTTCCATTTTTTTTCCTTTATTTTTTTGGGTTTTATGTTCATTTCCCAGATTTTTAAATTATTTTTAAAATTTTTAGAATTATTTTTTAATTTTAAAAATAAAACAATTAGAACAGATAAAAAAAAAGTTCAAAAGAAAAGATGAGGTTTCATTTTCTAGATATGTGACACATTTCATTGGTTGATTTTTCTTTGCTATGTCACCAACTTGAAGGTGTAAACTATTTAATAAACGCCAAGTTAGATCATCTTATTATGAATTTTTTAATTTTATGTATCAAATCGATAATTTTAATTACTATAATTTAGATATCAAGTGTATAAATATTAATCCTTTTTATTTAAAAATAACGTAAATATTTCATTGTAATAAAAAAGGATCATAAAGGATTTATAGATATAATAGAGAAGTGTAATCCCAAAAATGCAAGCCTTACGTATTTCCACATGCATTATAAATTTGTTTTGTTGTTGTCTTACTAATAATTAATTACCAGGTGCTGCCAACTTTGAAAAAGATTTCTTAAACTTAAGTAAGTTCGTCCTCAAAAAGTAGTTTGCAGAGTTTATTTCAGGAATTACGTCTCTAATTCGACTCCTTAATAGTTGAATGCCCCATTTCTTTGGAACAATGGTCGGTCTGGAAAGTGGCCCTCTAACTATCCTTCCCCCGATTTATGTTTCTCAGTCCATAGTCGTCGAACCAAGTTTTCAGGTTCCTGCTAAGCACAACAATTCCTTCTCTAGCCACACAATTTACCTGATGAGATAGCTCATGAGAGGACGTGCCTCCACCCTTTGTTCTCTTGTCATGACATTAACTAACCAAAAGTGACTTGCCCTAGCTAGCTTGTCATGATCTACTTCTACTACGTCGACGAAGGTGGGAGAGAACTGAAAACTTCTTTATATCCAAGTGAATATAAGTAAAAATGAAATATATTAAAAAGGTAAAATCTTGAAATGTTTGATATAAAATTATCTTAAATTACATAAATATGCTAAAATAATTACTAACATGTGAAAAGTGGATAATTACACTAACTTAATTCAAACATAATCAAGAAATATAATATATTGTGAGAAAAATGTACGAATAAAAAAATTGTGACATAATTTAGTGTACTACAAACTTTTGATTTTTTGAAAAGCTTAAAATAATTCATTAAGAAATATCACAACAGTTGTGCAATTCGAAGTTTCTTGTATAAAAGGTAAAAGACTTCTAATGACAATAAGAGCATGTTTGGCTTAACTTTTTTTTTTAATTTAAAAGTTATTATAAAGCTCTTATAAAAAATAATAATTTTTAAAATTAAATTAAAATTATTTAGTAAATTTACTTTTTATAAGTTCTTTGTTATAGATAAGTTGTTTGGTAAAACAACTTATATAAACTCTAACTTTAGTTAAAATGACCATAAAAGGTATTTAATAAATAACTTTTTATTAATTACGAATTTTTTTGTTCAAAATAAAAAAAATTAACTTTATTTTTTATCTATTTAAAATAAATTTTTGAAAATATAAAAAAGATTTTTATATAACATAAAGTTTATAATTGATAATAAATTATAAAAAAAGAGTTCAACAAATAATTTATAAGTAACACATAATCCATAAATAATTTTTTATTGAATAATAATAAATAAAAAAAATCAAGAGAAAAATTGAATCAAATAAAAAAAATGAGAGATAGAAGAAAGTAGTGAGTCAACTACTAAAACCTTTAACCCTAACAATGGAGGAGAACCCATAAAAGAAGAAAAGAAGTCTAGGTGGTAGTAATAATTCAGGAAAATCATTGATGTCTTTACCAACAAAGTTCACTTCTATAAACAATATTATCTCAACAACCATAATTAACAAATATTATTTCAATTTTTATCTAATTTATCTCAACAACCATTGACCTATTTAATTAATTATTTCAATTATAATCATCAAATATTATATACACCATAAAGAAGTTAAGAATAACGAAACATCACATAATTGTTATATCAAACAATAAACTGAGAAATATCAACTAATAAAGAGATTTTTCAAAGTTCAAAAAAAAAGATAAAAAATAAAATGAAAAACAAAATAGAAAGAAAAATAAGAAATAATACCTGAATGTAGTTTTGAATTTTGAATCTTCTTTTTTTTTTAATTATTGTAAGAATAAAAAAAAATCTTAGAATGATGATTTTCTAAAAGGGAGAGAGGAGAGGGAGATCAATAGGGGGGAGAAGGAGTATTTTTTTAAAGAGAGGATCTTTTTGAGAAAAAATAGCTCTCTTAATAAGTTGGTGTGTTTTTTAAAAAATAAGAGAAGATAAAGCTCCTAATTGAAACTTTTTTTAAGCTCTTTTTTTTTAGATTTTATTTTTTAAAAAAAATTACTTTTTTAAGAGCTTTTTACGAAATCTTGTTTGACCTAACTTCAACTTTTAAGCAGTAGATAAATTAAATATAAGTCAAGCTAAATGAACGCTAAACATAATTAAAATGGTACCTTGCAATACAATTGTTAAGGGTGCTACTTACAAAAAAAAAAAATGCAACACCTCTATACTTTGAACTCTTGTTAAAAGACAAAACCATTTTCCCTCGTTGCTATCACAAAGGCAATGGCTTATACATCTCCCAAAACTATAATAACTTGAGGGAACCACAAAATGATACAAAAGTAGGGATGGTAATGGGTATCTTATTATAGGGTATTCGTAGATACTTGATCTAATTATATAAGGTTAGGGTACTCTATAATCGAGTTTAAGATGAGTTTGAATAGTGATTTCACTACTCGTATTGGGTTCAAGTAGGATTTGGGTATCATCCTTTGGGTACTCGTTATCCAAACCCGATTATCATTTATAAATGCTTTATTATTATTTTAATAATTAAATTAAAAATATGCAATTTTTGCTAACTTTGCAACCAATT